CCCCCCCCCCCTCCAAAAAAAAAAGACCCGATTCAGCCGTTGCTTGCATTAAGTATCAATTTATAGCAAATTTTGAAATGAAATTATTGAATTACTATTCTTTTGAACTAATTTATCAAATTACCATACGTTTTTAAAAAGCGAGGTCACTTTTAAGTTTAAATTGCGGACTCCATAAAATGACCCCATCACTCAACTGTATCTCATTATGTGAACTGCACAATCTGAACTTAAAAACGGATTTGTTGACTCTAATTTTTTAAAAGTATTTTAATTTAGTAAATAAGTTCAAAAATGTTTGGTTCAAAATTGCCACAGATCGATAGTGCAATACTTTATATTTTGTAAAATCTCTAAAAATAATGCAATACTATTGATGAAGATGAATCGCTCTTATTAGGTTTATGAGCTTTAACACTAAACAAATAGTCTACTAAATTTGGCATTAGGCTGTTAATAGATTGAATTTTTGATTCGAATTCGACTTGTTAGATATATTTTTGATCAATTATCCAACTTTAAGTCTTTTACGTTATATTTAATGAATTTTGATATGCTAATATCCGCTTGAATTTGAAGTATATGTAAATACTTATTTAAGTGATTAATTGGGGATATAAGTTAAAATTTATATATAATTTGTTAAAATTAGCTCAGTTGATTTGTTCGAACGCATTTGATTTTTTGAATCAAATAATCCAATTTTTAACCCCGCAATTATAGAGTTTGACCTTAGTGCAACAATATGTCATTTCATTGTGACCTGAACATCATAGGTCAGAGTTACAAAAATAATATCTCTGCATGCGGTAAGACAACATTGGGTAAAAGATACTTCTTCTTTGCATTTATTATGATTCTTTCTTTACGAGGATTGTAATTCGGTAAAACAACATTCTTCTGATTCTTCTTAGGTCTCACTGTGAGAGAGAGTCTTATGTGCTAGCTCGCCTTTTATATTTAGTTTTTAATTGGTTCAAACATGAATTGTGAAAGCAAAATTTGTCGGATTCAAATTAAATAGAGTTTTTAATCGAATTTCGATCAAACAAAATCTTATTCACAATTCGATTCATTGATAAGCTTACTGGGCAGTTAGCCACTCGTTAGAGTAGTTGCACAGAAAAGCAGCACAAAGAATACCAATCCGGTGGACTAGGGATGGGGTGTACGAAGATTTGAAGATTTGAGTTTTAATTACAAAAATAAAAATAAAAATAAAAATAAAAATAATGTGATGTGAGTGCTTTTTTCAAAATTTATTTGGCTTTAAATATCACATCCAAACTTATCCTCCTTTAAATACCTTTTTTATCAAATAGTTGTCAATAAATACACATTTTAAAATATTTTCAAATTCTTTCTAAAATGTATTTCATAATTAACCATACCATAAAGAGTGCATACCTAATTAACAACTTTTATATTTTCAATATTTAAATATTAGAATGTGAGACTTTCAAGATTTCTTTTGATATTTATATATCATTTGAATTTTAAAATTTCTTATATATATATACACACACACACTCACGCACACACACACATATATACACACACACACACATATATAATAATATCAAACAGTAACACGCTCAATAAAAAATAATAATATCAAACAGTAACATACTCAATAACTGTTTGATATTATTATTTTTTTGTTGAGTGTATTATTGTTTTATATTATATTATATATATATGTATACACGTGGGCGTGTGTGTGTATATATATATGAAATTTCAAAATTCAAGTGATATACATATATCAAAAAGAATCTAAAAAATTTCACATTCTAATCTTGAAAGTCTTACATTCAATTAGGTATGCACTACTTATGGTAGGGGTAAAAAGATTTTTATGACTTTTTTTTAGTAGAAATATTTCTATTTCAATTATTTTAAAAAATGTACTTTTATCCTATTAAGTTTTTAAGAAGATACCGGCCTCACTAAGTCTCCCCCAAAAAAAAACCAAGGTCAGAGCCGACATGAAATTGTTGGTCAAAAGATAATGGATAGAAATATAAGACTAATCTCTGCGGTTCCCTCCTGTCTGTTCCCGAGTTGGGTTCGCGGAACATTTGAGCGATTGTGAATTCAATTGCGCTCACAAGCAGTACAATCAAAATAAGACTAATATAGACTTTACAAGGGACCATTTGAGCTACTCTTCGGTCTAATTAAAGACAAGTCATTCACAATATAATTAGAATATTTATAAGGGATAAATCTTTCATGACTTACAGCTCGTCTCTATTATAAGATGTCCGATACAATTTGAATTTAAGATGTCTGAATTTGAATTTAAGATGTCCGAATTTACAGCTCGTCTCTATTATCACATGAGTTACCCATTTAGATTCAAAAATAATATTGGGTACCATATCAAAATACTAGTCCAATAAAACTACTATTTTCGAACCATAGCGGCCTTTACATCCTTTATTGACATAAGACCAATCCATGATTATAAAAAATAATAATTCTATTGATATAGATCAAGATGTGGTAGTGTAGAAAGAAAATAACATCTAAATATGTGATCTGATAAACATGTTATTTTCATTGTCAGTCCTCCAAATAATTTCTTTTTAACAACATGTTTCAACAATAAACTAGAGAAATTCATTAACTTCAACAATAAGTTAGCATGTCTCCAAATTTAAAATCACAAGATTTTCTCAAATGGTGTAATCAGAGACATACTCAATTGACAAAACAGTCATACTTAAGACATACACAAAATTTTAAGATTTTGTATAAAATGTCATGCCATAAATGTATACACATATCACATATGAAATTAAATTAAAATTAAAGTTCTCAACAAATAAAAAAAAACTCCCACTAACTAAGTACATCAAAAGACCCCAAAATACTCATGTTGTCATCATGTCTCTTAAAAGTTACAAGTCTTAGTCCCTTGGTTGAAGGATCAGTAAGCATTGATTCTGTATCAATATGTTCAATCACAATGTCACATTTCTTCACAAACTCCGTTATAGAAAGATATTTAATTTTCATATGTTTAGACTCACTACAATGCTTATTGTTCTTTGAGAAGAACACAGTTGCACTATTATCACAATAAATTGTTAGTGATTTAGAAATGGAATCAACAATTATAAGTTCTAAAATAAAATTGTTTAGTCATATAACTTGTGTTGCAGCTCCATAACAAGCTACAAATTCAGCTTGCATAGTAGAAGCAGCTGTGAGAGTTTGTTTAACACTCTTCCATGATATTGCTCTTCTAGTTAACATGAAAATATATCATGAAGTGGATTCTAAATAATTATGACACCCAGCAAAATCTGAATTTGAGTAACCAATCACCTCAAGACTATCAAATCTCTTATAAACAAGCATGTAATTTTTTTTGTTTTCTGTAAGTATCTTATAACTTTCTTAAC